TGCGTCACGCCACGCCACGCCACGCTACGCCGAGCCCTCCACGCCTCGCCACGTCACGTCTCGTCCTGCCGCGCCATGCCAACACATCCCACCCCACACAACACTACACCACACCACACCACCACACGTCATGCTACGCCGCGCCATGGCAAGCCATTCTTCGCCATGCCGCTCCACGCCACACCATGCCATTATTCCCTACGTTATCCCATGTCGTGTTTCGCCACTTCGCTCCATGCTGTGCCATGGCACGTGTGGTCACGCCACGCGACGATTCATCACAGTAAAGTCACGCTACGCCCGGCCACGATTCATCACAGTACGCCACGCCAGGACTGCCCCCGCTACGCGAAGCCATGCTGCTACACGCCACGCCACGCCACGCCACGCCACGCCACGCCACGTCACGCCACGTCACGCCATTGCCAAACCGCGCCGCATCACTCCTGACTCTTTGTACCCTTACGGTGTTTCGAAACGGGTGGCATTTGTGGCCAGTGCACAACAGCCCCTTCAATCATGTGAAAACGCTTGCAGTTAACACGGACAGTGTTTTTGACACTGACAATGTTAATTGACAATTGTTTACATTTCACTCATTACACTGTTATCCTATACGTGGCAATACCTTCAGGTTAGGACGGGTAGTAAATAGGGTGAGAGCTACCCTCAGTGAAATCTTCCTGCTGGCCTAAGTGTGCATGATTGATTACTAGTGATTCCGAGCGCGTCGACTGCTAAGGTCATTGGTCCCGAAAATGTAGGAGATATTTTTGCTCCGAAAGTAGAGGTGATCTTGCTCTGCTCGATGGAGAGATCCGGCATCAGCCTACCTTCAGCTAGCGGGATTTTCCCCAACTAGGTATCTCCCGTCAGCGAGACTCCGCCCCTGCCGTGATCAGTTCTAGACTCTCAATTGTTCTCCCGTTATGTGCGGAAGTGTAGTGTATGTAAGTGTGTGTGTGTGTAAAGGGTCAGAATATGACAAGGAAGAGAGAGGAAAGATCACCCGCGATCCGCAAGCCATTTGGGAGGGTACTGGTTCGACATTCGCCTGGTGTTGATCGGAGAAACCGCGGAAAACTACCGATCAGAGCAGCCGGATGCTAGAATTTTCCTCAAGACAGCGGCAGAACTCGACTTAGCTATTTGCCCAAAATCTGCTTTTGAAAATACTGCCACCGTCAGAACTGGAACCCCAAAAACATCCCGCTGCTATGACATTAGTTGTTGCCCTGAGCCACCTCTCCCGGTCTAAGAGCGGCCAGGGAACCACTCTCCTGGCCATCGCCCTTGCCACTGCCTACGTGCTGCCTCTACTTCCGTCTCCCCTCATTAAGCCGCTACGGCGCCTTTTTATAGCGCTCCCTCTTGGACGCAATGGGCCAAACAGCCCTTTCAGCCCTCGCGTAACCCGGGTCGCGCTGCTGCGGACTCTTAACAAGCCGCGACAGTGCGCGAGGCGACAGACCAGCGGCATCTCCGTGCAGCGTCGCGGTCGCAAAATTAATATTGTCGGTTCAGTTAACAAGGCTAGAAATTGAAACAAATAATCATTTTAGGAAAAACCTATTTACAAGTTGTGTTTGTTAAATGCCGATCAGATATGTTGTTTAGAAATGTGCTGTTATTTTGTACTTCCAACTTATATACGTATTTTCATCGATTTTTCGAGATACATTTTTATTTCTAAATTAAACAACGAGATCTTCAAAATATTTTTTGAGTTATTGCCAATTATTTTAACCTTGCAGTTACTATCAATTTGCTTTTCATTCGTTGAAATTAATATTTTTAGTAATTACGTGTACCACATCAGTCAGTTCTCTTATAGTGAGTGCCAATGAAACATCACTAAAAGTTCGTTTGTAGAATACGGCTTATAAACGTAACTCTTCCAGCCTGTTCTCCACAGTTACTGTAATGTTCCTTTTCATGTTCTCACGTGTAACTCGCGTGTTCGTCACGCGTTTGCTGCATTTTCCCTAAATGTTTCCCACATTTCCCTACAAGTTTCCTGTAAGTTACCCGTATATTCCTCTACAACGTAACATCATGTTTCCCGTGTATACCATCCTACATTTTCTACACGCATGTTAAAATCTAGTTGGAATACAGAAATATAACCTCAATCATTGCTTAGATTCATGCCAAAATTCGATATAAGATGTTGCTATTGTGGAAGAGTGTAATGGGAGATTGGGTGTTTATTCAATAATGAGAATGATGCAAGGGAAGGATAAATATGACTGGGACGGACCGATCTCTGGCAGAAACTATGAAGGTCAAAAGTGAAATTTCCATCAATGTGAACCCATGTTGGGGTGAGCTACTTGATACAAACAGCTAGATCATAATAATTTGAAAAAACAACAACAAAGGATCACATTAAACATTCCATGTCTGGACGTTAGTGGAGTAAAAAGCGGGGATAGGAATATGAGGAACTGATGCATACTTTATCAGGTACATTTAACATTAGAAAATTAATAACGAAACAAAAATGCAAGTGGTTTTTATTGCGAGTTCCTTCTTTAAATGTACTGCATCTTCTGAGTTGCGTTTCCTCGTTTACAAGGCGAGGCCGGTCTTCTCCGAGATCCAGTCTGTGAAGGAGGTGACGCGAGCGAAGCCGTTGGGGGCACCGCTTTCGCAGCCGGCGCTGGAGCCGTAGCTCACGATACCGATCTGTCTGCCGGTCGCCAGGTCGACGAGAGGCCCGCCGCTGTCGCCCTGTCAACAATTATAAAATACATTTTATGTATGTTTGTTTGTTTGTTTTGGCGTGACTCCTTGAAACCTGTCTTCTACAGTTTCTGGTTCATTGAAACCTGAGTTCTACAGTTTCTGGTTCATTGAAACCTGTCTTCTACAGTTTCTGGTTCATTGAAACCTGAATTCTACAGTTTCACAATGCCCAAAACTAAACACTGCTCAAAACTAAGTTTTCCCTAAGGAAAACAGTTTCGAGAAAACCGAGAACTAAGCACGGACCGAAATTAAATTTTCCGAAATAAACACAGTTTCCAGGAAGACCAAAACTGAGCACAGCCCAAAGCAAATTTTTCGCAAAGCAACAGTTTTCAGAAACCCCACAACTGAGAACCCAGACACAATGGATTGGTGCAGTTGTAGCGGATGCTGTCGCAACCACACATAAAATATAGCATAGACAGCATAGGAAATACACCGGAATATAGGATTGGATTATTGATGAAGCTAGTGATGTTACAACTGCACACTGTCTCTCATTATTAGTAACGTCTGCTTTCACTTCAGCCATAGCTTTAAAAATCCTAAAACCAAAAAAGCATAATTTTTCGAAAGAAATGTATATCTTTATTTCTTTGAAAATTCAAACGTTTGAATGAAAATTATTTTTCGTCATTAGATTCAGTGTATTGTCTACTATTAAAAATGTTTAAAAAAAATATTTACTAGAAGTGGGATTTTAACGCTAGCGATAAGGTTCACGAAGTTTGAGCCGTTCCTCTGCGCTACGGAATCTCGTGATACAAGACGTGGGATTAAAATATTATAATGAATTCTCAATACTGGGGTGTTTATAACGTCGAGACTTCGTTACGTAGAGTGAACAAACAATGGTGCTGTAGCGTTGGCGCTCACATTGCAGGAGCTGCGGCCGTATCTGCCCAGGGCGCAGATGTTGGAGGAGCGCACGTTGAGGAGGCCGAAGGTCTTGCGGCACTCGGCGTTGGAGATGACGATCAAGTCCGCGTAGTTCAGCTGGGCGCTGATGGAATTGGAGGCTGAACAAGGACAAAACAATACGGTAAGTTCATTGAAAGCAAATTTTAATTATTTTTTTAGGTTGTTCTATGCTGTATATACATTACAAAGAGCTACACGGGTGTGGTTAAGGATTAATTTTAAGTTCTTAATTTCTCCTACTCCATTTAAAATATAAGATGCTGAAATAATTTTCAAATTTCTTAATACCTGTTGTTTGATTTGTATTTTTTAAGTTTATTAAAAAACATAACTTTTAACACCTAATTTTTCTTTCTACTATTCACCTTATTTTAACGGTTAGTAGTCTAGGAATAACTCAAAAGCACAAACTATGAATAAGGCAGGCATGTATTTGCTTTTATGTGCATTTAGGTACGGCCAAATGTTAGCCTGGGCGAGAAATATTATCAAGAAAGTAAAATAGAATAATCTGTTATTACAAAAGTACCCCGGAGACTCGACCTCTATCATAGCACAAAGTAAAAAAAAAAATCACGTCAGTTTGTATACATTCTAACTACTCATCAACTCTCTAATTATGATTTAAGGGTTTTTCGGGAATGAACACATTTGAAAAAAACGATGGATCTTTCATATTGTAACGTCACATTGGCGGCCATTCCTCCGAAAGTAAGCAGGCAGACATATCATGATATACTTGACTATAGTGATACGAGGCGCCGCTAAAAGTATCCATCTGAGGGAGGTAGGGTGCAAGCAGAAGCAATGGCTATCACGTCATGCCTAGGCAGATGCCCCTACAGACGGTTCGGAAGTGATCACGTGGCCGACAGTATATGCTAGCGCCCCTGATGCCCAGGCGGGGCTACGCGTTGTGGTAATCCCACTTGAAGACACAAAACTGCCGGCCCAAGGAGACGAGACGTGAGTATTACAATTATTAATCGCGCAACTTTTCTTGAACGATAACCTTGCTTAATTTAATATTATTATTATGCTCTCTGGCATAATATCTCTGGCACAGTTGAAGGCAAAATCACACAGCGAGCGCTGATGACGACATTCAAAACACATCTCCACTGGCGCGAAATAAGAACTATTTTCTGATGAAGAGAAGTTCTGTCCGTGATTTTTTTCCAACAATTTTACGAAATGACCGAAGCAGGTGAAGATCCATCACAGGAGATACCTCGAACTCCTGAGAAAGTTAAAACGCAAATTATTGTGAAAGTTTCAGAGATTGGCATTGCTTTATTAAATATAGTGGCCGATTTCATATCTAATACTCCCGCTCTACCTGTATGTCTTCAATCCATCGTTCAAGAAAAATTGCGCGTGTAATACAGGCACGGTAAAGCTCCGAGGTGGAGTAACTGCAATTACGCAAAGTCAGCGTATAAGTAAGCTATGGGTAACGAGAAGCGAATATACCATAGTCAGAGGAACCTCACAGCTACGAGTAACTACTAATAATTGGAAAAGGGGGTGTTTCATGTGTATACCAAGTGTGCACACTTAGTGGTTATTGTGGAAAGCTGAAGTAGCATTGAAATCCAGTCCCTCCTAATTACTTACACACAATTCTTGTAGTAATGTTTGTAAATAAACGTGGGTGTATATAGTTTGTGACTGCGAGCTTATTTCGTTACCTTGAGGCCACAATATTTTGTGTCCTGATCAAGTTCATATCTATACGTGGTTCATTCTGTTCTTCACTAAACTTTAGCCAATAGGAAGTGGTTTATATAAGGTGCATCTCATTCCTTTGGCGTAAGTTTTACAAAATAGAAAGATATCTTTCGTTTTCACGCAATTTTACATGATCGAGATACTCTCGTCTGATTCTACTCCAAGTTGAGTTTAAGCTATTGATGATGGTTATGACTAACCTTCCATGCTTTGCAACAAGTTATCTTTGGAGTGTAGTATAGATAGCCAAACCCTTCACGTTATAATCTTCCATTTCTATTTGGCGTTGTTTTATATATGGCTACATATGGCGTTGTGAAACTGAGGAAAACGAATGTGTAAGAATGACGATACAGTTCAACGATCTGCAGTGCGGTGAAGTGAAATTTGGTGAAGTATAATGCTTTAAAAGAATGTAAGTGTTCACTTTGATTTGTAAAGTTTGTAAATTTTGTAAAGTTGTGAAGTTCTGTAATGCTACGTTAACGTATTCTGCCACCAAGCTCTCAAACGTAGTTGCAGAATTATTAATAAATCTAATCTAATCTATCTTAAAACTCCTTATTTAAATGCCATTATTCGAAAGGTCTCTCTTACCATCAGAGGTCTTTCCCCAAATTTCCTTATTTAAATGCCATTATTCGAAAGGTCTCTCTTACCATCAGAGGTCTTTCCCCATCCGCTGACACGACCAGCTGCGCCTACGAAGAGGTCGCTGCCAGTCGCAAGAACGATGGGCTGGATCAAGTCTGTGGACAGGAAAATACCTCTCCGTACATACTTTCCGTGTTCGCTTCGTATCACCAGATTATTACATCCAAAATCCATTATTGAATGCTCTGGGTTGCAACGAGGATTACAATGATATAACGTGAATAACGGAACTACGAAAGCCTTTGATCTCTTGTTTCCCTAATTTCATTGAGAGAATATAACAAAACAATGGTTTAGTTTTATTACGCACATGAACAGTCGACAGAATTCATTAAAACAGCTGGCTGGACCAGATCGAGCGTACTGTAGATTTTTAATGCAGACTGTTTACTCGACTCTTTGATGTAACTGGGAACGAATATTCACAACTGCCTGAACTCGTAACCAGGACTTCCTCGACTACAAAGTTTCAGAACTCGCCATTCAACCCTGTAAGATAATAATTTGTAAACGATGAATTAGTACATTTTTTTCAGATAAATGCTGTTTTGTTCACCATTTCAGCACAGTACAGTGATTTTGAAGTTCAATGTTACATATATTGTATATTATTTAAACATATTTATACATAATTTTGCCAATGGACATGTGGTAAATTGTAACGTATTAGCCAGCATGCCTTGTGGCATCTATTTGGGGACGCTTGGCAGAGGATTAGCCTCGCCACAGGAAGAAGGGTTTTTCTGTAAAGGCATGAACGCGGACACGGGAGACACAAGGTTTTGGCGTCTTCCGGCTTATAGAAGCTTTTCACTGTTATAACAAGCGAGGGAGTGGCGTGACGTAGTAGGTCACGTGGGCCTCGCCTATATAACAGAGTGTACAGAGCCAGTGGGTGGGTTCTGGAGACAGCGGGAAAACCTCGTGCGTGTGCACAAAACTTGGCGCCACGACGGTGCATATGCGAGCCAGGCTCGCGAGGCTCGAGTCACTAGTTGACGAAGCCTGCGGACTTTAGGTCCTGGGGTGGCTGCGGTCACGGGGGAGCGATGCTGTGTGCGTGCTCCGCGGTGAAGAGTGGTTGAGTGCCACGATTCACGCCAATTCTCAATCGGATAAGATCGCTCCTGCGATCGAGGCAAACCAGCCGTTGGTGCGCCAGAACGGACTTTGTGTCCCAGCGTGACATCCGGTCACGGAAGCTAGGCTTTGTGCGCGCTTCAAAAGTAGGAGTGGCGAATGCCACAATCAAAACCATCTTCAATCGGGTTTGGATCGCTCCCGCGATCAGGGGATAGTAGGTCTATCAGAGGTAGGGTGTAAGTAGATTATTAAGTGTATATATTTGTTTTGTTTTCTTGGTAATAAATATATTTGTTATATGAAAGCTCTGTGTCTGTGGTCGCTGTGAGTATCCATGACGTCACAATATCATATAACTAAGACGTATATATGATATGTGCCCCTGATTGGTAGGTAACTTGGTTGCGCCGAAATATATTGAAAGTGCCCGCTAAGCACCAGTGCAAGATGTGTTGCCTACGTATCAGGGAAAATGTTACGTGTGACTTTAATATTACAGATTCATAACCACGTTAGTGAAAAGGGATCTTCAACCATTTGCGCGTCCTATACGTTTGTAACATTTTTTTATTGTGAGACACCTACATGAATTAATGGCGCATATTTTCTTAAGCCTCGGACTACATACCACTTTATAACAGTTGAATTATGAATAAATGAGAACGTGCGTTTTTTGTTAAAATCGGAAAACCAGAAAAAATCGCTCCCATAGGAACTATTCATCGAAAAGGCGAGATAACCAGCGAAAAATAGAGAACCGGTGTCCATAGCCGACTTGCTTAACCCTGCACCGTGAAGTCACGGAGGTTAAGCAAATTGAGCTCCCGCGGGTTTCTGGATGGGTGACAATCTGGGAAGCCCGGAGATTGAACGGCGTCGAGTTCCTGGCCGAAGGGATAAAAAGGCAATGACTAGTTTAGAAGGATTACTGTATGTTCGACGTCATTACGTATGGGTTTAGAACTTTTTTTCCAAACAATATTACAAATTAACTACATATTTGATGTGATATTACTGATCTCGAAATAATCAAATCCCTCTCTTCTTTCGCATCTTGAAAAATAATGGCTCAAGAAGCGTTCTTGTCAAAATCTGATTTACAAAAACTCTTTTTGATAAAAAACGAGTTACATATTTGATATTATATGAATGCCCGCTCCTTCTCTCGCATCTAGCGAAGTGAGGACTCAAGAAAACGCGCGTCGATCTCGGGCGTGCGCGTGGGCGTGGGCGTGCGCGTGGGCGTGGGCGTGCGTGTGAGCGTGCGCGTGTGCGTCTCGCCTACCGCTGAGGGGCACGTCCTGCTTGAGGTCGATGACGGCGACGTCGTTGGCCGGCAGCAGCACCGTGTAGCCCGAGTGGACGTGCTTGGAGCGCGTCGACACCACCACGCGGCCTTCCTCCTGCGCGTCGCTGATGGCCTGCGCGCCCAGGTGCACCGTGAACGAGAAGATCCTGCGGGGCACAGCGCGCTTGCAGTATCCGGGCATGGCAGTCATATAAGCTTCCTAAACTTGTTATGCGCCGAAATAAGTTTGGGTGGATCAGGGATCGATGGATTTTTAAAGGGCGGGAAAAACTAGCATAACCAGAAGACTAGAAAATAAATGGTACGGACATGAACAGATGATGAAAAATAAAAGCTGGCCAAATTAAATTTTAAGTTTGATACCTGAAATAATGCGTAGAAGAGACAGAGGTGTTTTGACTTGGAAGGCGTATATACGGGAAATAATGGAAAATAAAGGACTAGAGGAAGGTCAATGGCAAGACCGAAAAATATGTATGTACGTACTTAAGCCTAACAGCTCTTTACGAGATAAGACCAACCAGCAGAGACCGAAAAATCTGGAAATTGAAAACTGCAAACTCTTAGAGGTAGAAACCGTCGAAGAAGAAGGAGGAAATGGACAGAGTGTCATGTCACTCTTATGGTAGGTCAAAGAATTCCAACTAAATGTGCGGCAAAAATAAATCTCCTAAAATGTTTGTCTTAATCCATCACAATATTTAATTTTTGCCAGTATTAAATGAATGTTTTTGAGATCGTTGTGTCGGGCAGTTTTCCGTGGTGGTGAACATAAAAATTAAACTTATGGTGCTACAGAATGGCACAAAACTTTCCCTATTAGTTTTCTATCTCTTTTTGTCTCGGCTAGCTATTCGGACTTACCACATACTCTTGCCAACTGCCATATACCACAATACAAAGTAATTTTTTTTACATTTTCGTAATTTTTTCTGTTTCCAAATTGAAAGTAAATATTATTTTAAGGCTATTAAAGATCAGTAAAAACCTAGACCAAAATTTCAATTAACTTCAAAAATAATTTGTTCTACGCACAAGTAAATTTTGTTTAATATTCTTTAAATTAATATGGATTAAATTCAAATTTAATAAAATAGTACGTCTCTTCTAAATGCACTTTGGTCGGATTCATCATTACGCAAACATTCAGATGTTGCCATGACAGAAAACATGGCGATTGCCTTCTCACTCTCCGAAGGCTTGGTGAGGAATAAGAATCGAGGGAACGAGTGACTTTTTACGCTTTGCATATGCAAGTTGGCGGCGAGATTCAGATCTTCAGCCTCCGCGTTTAAACTAAGCTGCTTTGGATCTGCGCCACGCATAATTCCAACGCATTTTATGCTCAAATATTTTGCTTCCGAACAGCTTGCTAGAAAAGAGAAACAGAAAAAGAATTCACGTAATTTAATGAAGAAACTGACTTAAAATGAAGTAATCGAGGGAGCATGAAAATATTTGTTTCGAAGTTTCTTAGTATACTCACGCCACACATTTCATCTTTAGAAATACTTCGCGCCAAATAATATTCGAGGTTTCCAGGTATGGAAAAAATTATGTTAGTGAAGAATTTATGTTTCTTTACTAAAAAAACTTCCCACAAATGTAAGAAAGTAAAACAAAGCACTATCAAATCCGTCTGTGGAATGCCCGAGTTCGCCTTCGTTACGTATGTTCCGCTTTTGTTCTCAAAACTTATGGAGAGTGTGAGTTTATCGGAGTGGATTCGTTAATGGAGGGACGTTAGGGATCAGATGCAAAATGGTGCTGATCAGATGCAGTTGGTTAAACTTGTGACGTTTTTATTCCTGTATAAAGCTGTATCCGGCCTGGATAGCCTAGATTGCAAAGGCTGTAGGGCCGTAGCTTCCTCGGCGCGAAGGGTCGCGGGTTCGAAAACCGCCTGGTGTGGATATGTGTGTGTGTGTTCTCGAGTTGGCCTTACGTGTCGTGTTCCCCTACACTTATCCAAATGTAAACAATCAGTGGTCGCTACATGTCCGTGTAGTTAATAAATCCATCTCCATAATGGAGTGGGGTGTTTTTACATGGATTGGACTAGGTCCTCTTGTCCCACTACACCGATCAATGACTGGAAATGTTAATAGGCAGCTACTTGAGAGACTATTTGCATCCAGTCATAGACTTCATGTTCCCAACAACTATTGAATTTAATGGATGACAATGCGCTATGTGAATGGGCCACAATTGTTCACGATTGATTTGAAGAACATTTTAGACAATTCGAGCGAAAACGTTAGCCACACCATCCCCCAACCCCATCGAACATTTGTGGGCCAGTTCGTGCATAAAATCCTACATTGGTGAAACTTTCGTAGATATGGATGTCTACCGAGGCAGCATGGCACAATATTTCTGAAGGGGACTTCCGTTGAGTTCATGCTACATTGAATTACTGCACTTCGTCGGGCAAAAGGAGATCCTGCACGACTGTCATGATCTTTGTCATCTCAGTGTAAACTGAGGGGATTTATTTGACTTGATTTATTTTCGTCAAAAAAGTAGAAACTGTATGTGATGTACTTGGAATAATTATGATCTGCACGCGTTTTCTTGTGATTCAGAATTTCCATTCTACTGTTTTTCTAGAATACTTGAATGATGAATACAATTAACAACAAAATTGGATTTGCAACATTTGGAAACTACAAAGTTTCACTCCCGTGTTACAGAAAACAATGCATTTCCGACGGTAAACCAATTAAAAATTTGATTTAATTTGCAAACAAAATAGCGACGCACAGACCTGCCTCTACTCCAACCAGCAAAAGGAAAGCACAACATACCCTGCGCAGAATGAAGCTACATGTATGTTCAGCTGGAAAACAAGGGACCATCTCAGCAGTTGCTCAATTGATCAGGAAAACAGGATGTAAAATATTTTCGAGATTGAGGGTCGTTGGCCTGGAAGCTGACGCACAGTTGTTACAGGCAGTATTTGAATTTTCAAAATTATATAACTCACATTTTAACTAATTACTTAAATATCATCGTTAAAACAAATATTTTTTGACGGTCAGTATAGTATCTAATTGTTTAGAAACAGTTATACAGCAGAAAATAATTTTCTCGATACTTAAACTTGTATACTGATTTGTTTCATCTCATTTGGAAATGTTTTGTAAAGTAACGCACATGTGTTATACGTGGATACCTTGTAATGAGCCGTTGATACTGCATTGCATTACTAATTGTGAAAACATTGTATCACGCAGCTGCGCTCTCTCGCGCCCCCTCCAGCCCCTGTCCCAAATTAGTTGCGCATCGTGTCGCTTAAGAGAACCCATAGGAACCCAAACCCGCTCCTGCGTCAGCCTCGAGCTTAGGGGAATGTTTTTTTGGGGCCATGTCGTAAATTTGCTCGCGCGGCCACCTGCCTGCCCCACACACTTTTCAAATACAATACCACCCTATTCTATCATTAATATGTTTTTAGCTTGCATAGTATTTATAATTTTTGAACTACATTTCATCATATAGTATGTACAATATTTGAAACTAATTACTACGGTTCTCCAGGTTGCAAAAACGTTAACTGAATTAGTAAACATTTAAATTGCGTAGCATAATGAACTTAACATAGTATTCAATTTAATTAAATGAATATTCCATTTGAGGTTTGACTGAGTTGAGAAACCCAAATATTCTTAAACCTCAAATATGATTTTTACGACAGACAATTGCATGTTGCTCATTTTCAATGAAGTGTACAATTGTTTAATTGAAATATAACCCTTCATTGAAACTGTTTCGTTTTAATTTGGTTTTTAGAAACCGATTTGAAACTTCTGCATTCTTACTGCTTATTGTCTTTTTTTGCAAAAACATTCTTATAAAAAAACTATTAATTCTTTTCTAATGGACGAGGACATATCGTTTACGTATAAAAGAAACGCAATAGGACCTAAGATCGAACCGAAGAATTGGAAATATAAGTAAGCAATGTGGTTTTCTGCCTGTACAGTATTTCTACGCTTGGCCATCGATGGTTTTTTATGGATGTAGTTAGGGTATTTTGTTTGAAATAAAGGCTTCTCGGTGACAGTAAAATTTCCTCTTCCTATCCATTATCCCATTCCGAACGGTGAAGCTCTGGGTGAGTACCGACCGTAATTTTCCTCCGTTCCCTCAATCTCGTGGTTCAGTGGCGAAGTCGCTTGCCTTTCACCACTCAGGTTTCGGGTTTGATTCCCGTAGGATTCCCGTAGAATCCCCGTGGAACCTCGTGTGAAATTTGTTACGACAAAATGAGTTTGCATGCTTCACAGGGGTTTATCGAACTCCTGTGAAGCGTCCTAAACCTTACCCCTATCTCCTTATTCCTTCTCAATTTTGGCTACTGCGTAGTGACGCAGGTGCGCGCAAGAGAGAGGCACGTACTCGGCAATTCTATCTGGCGGTCCTCTTGACAACTGACTGAGACGAGACGTGACGGACTAAATAATTTAATGGAGGATTAGTCCAAGGGGCGTGGAGAAGCCTCTACCAATGACCAGCATTCGCCCACGGGGAAGAGGCCGACATCGCATAAGGCTGATGCTGGTGATTGGAACAGGGGCAAGTGTTGGGTCGCTCACCCCCAGGCGCAGTGGGCGGCGGTGAGCACCCAGCGCGGGGAGATGAGGGAGCCTCCGCAGAAGCCGCTGCCTGCGTACACGGCGGCCTGGTACGGGAACTGGCCGCGCGACGCCTGCACGCCGTTGATGACGCGCGGCGCCGGGTACCTGGGGGCGCCCTCTGCGACAAACAATACAAAAAACCTTTAACAGCACATACTTTCTCGCATTATTTCAAAATTTGTAATTTAGGAGTATTTAGAGAGTTTGATGGTGCCATTCTCTTAAGACTTCTATCCGTGGAAGAATTGTAGATAAAATTTTGAGTGGTTGATGAGAAAATGTATTTTTTTATAAATTGGGTTACTTTTAAGCCCAAATTCCGCGAATAATACTCATTTGTTCAAAAAACTGTACATGGTCATGAACACATTTAAAGAGGAACACATTTTTAAAGTTCCTTAAAGTAAGTACATAAACTGACCCATCTTCAATATTATAGTTAGAAATTTAAACATTTTTGAAAATACAGAACATTTGTTAAGAATGGCACTAGTGAGGATAAATTCGGTTCCTAAACATAGTAAAATACTGCATCCAACACTTAGTGTAGCCAGAATCCTTGATACCGAAAAATTGTTTGACGGCAAAAGCCTCTGCCCGTCTGTGGTCAACGCTAGCGCCTAAGCTCTTCAGCCAATTTTCTTCAAAATTGATATTCCTCGATTGATCTGCACGAACTGTACGTTTGGGGTGTTTCAAACGGATATTTTGATTTTTGAGTATACTTTATATGAAGCCTAAAATGTATTTTCAAACTTTTCTCAAAAATGGCACCACTTTTTTTCGTTAAACTTCGTCTTCGATATCGTAAAGGATGCTTAAGAGAATGGTGTATGTTCGTTAAAATCCCTAGTTTTTGGGAAATTGCAAATGTGTAATTTTTTGAGCGTCTTTTTACAATATATTTTTCTTAACGAAATCTGTTTCTGAAAGCAAGATCTTGAAACAAGGTCATGTACAATTCTTCAAAAATATGTGTAGTTTTTGCATAATTTTGCGGGATATATAGGCAGTTTTTAAACGTTTTACTTTTTTTCCTCGCATGAATCAAAAAATGGTAAAAAATATGGCGCTTGTCCCATTTTCGGCTGACTTGATATTTTCGAAAAGAAACAACAAAACATTGCAAAACTACAAAATATTTTCTTAAAAACTTAATTGTCTTCACGTATTCACGTAACAACAGACGGTAAAAAACGATTGTGCTAGTGCTATTTTTGGCGAACTCTCAGCATTCCGAACTTACAAAAATTGCGAATTGAAAATATTTTGTTGAGACAAGTACATTGTTAGGCGTCGGTCCGAGTTCAAATCGTTTCATTCTTCGGTACCATAATGGTATAGATGACGGCGAGTTAATTCGGAGGAGTTAAATTTGAGTCGAAACATGAATTTTTTGAGCTGAAAGCACTTTTACATATATGTAGTAGTGATGAGGAGCACTTAGAAATGATGCGAGAAGTATGTTCTGTTGAAAGCACCACTAGTTTTCCTTATGTCTATGCCTCGTCTGTGTTGTATTTCTAACATAGCAAGTAGAAACTTGGCTTCTGCTGTAAATGTAAATTGTATACAATTAATTTATCTTGTTCTTACCTATTTCGTCAATCACCATACGGATGGGGAAGGCATCGCTGTGGCTCACCACCGACTCTGCTGGCCCGGGGCGCGCCTGAAAATATCGATCTACTTTATTTTCGCGGATTAAAGAGGATTTTTTAAACCATGTTATAGGATCTTTGACGCTTGTAAATTCTATTGCTGAATCGCTTTGTAAAAAGTGTTATATTTTTGATTCTTTTTACCTTCTTATTCGAATCATGCAAGTACTAGTTTAAAACCATATTCTAACTTAGTTTTCTCTCCTCCCATTCATACCGTTTCGAGATAATGTTTTCTCCTAATACTTTTTCCCGTTTTTTTAACTTAAATTTACTGCCTGTTCAATTGTAATACATTTTTTCATTTTAAAAAATGTACTTCAAATAACATCATTCTTTTAAAAATAATAATGCATTGTCAAAGAAAACATTCAAAACTATATACGTAAATAAAACAACTTAGTAAAAGTAATGCAAATTTGTATAGTTTAACGCCCTGAAGAAATAGTCACTCATGGTGTGAGTCTGTAAAAAAACTGTCTAGAGATTATTAGTCAATATTATCCCATTATTACCTGAGCCGCAGCAAACACAAGGGCAAGGATCACGAGTGACTTCATGGCTGTGGGTGATTCGGATCCACGTGCAAGAGGCGACTGGAAGAGTTCCTGGGATAAGCATTGTTTTAAACAACTGCATTTATTGATAATTTTGCTAAAGGACGTCTAGTGAATCTTAGATAGCACAAACGATCGTGTTTTTCTCCCATTATGTATTCCACTTGATATAATATTCAGTTAATTATTATAATGAGTTGTTTGCAGTGGGATCGATTTCAGATTTATCTAGAGACTGTGACACACCCACCCAAATATGCGATTGGTAAATGATCATTGGCTGTTGAAAGGCATTTAACTGCACATAATGCCTGAGAGGATTCTTGAATAGTACTTGTATCATCCTTATCTTTGAACATTGAACACATCTCAAGATAAACAAGACTGCGTGCATGTACTTCTTACTCCAGGACATGCGACCTTTGTGAGTACGATCATGATATTAAAAAACACTAACTCATGTTTGACACGGTCTATACGTACGAATGAACGCGGTTGCATCAGATTGCATTTGTATCAGATCTCATTTCTACACTGATATCTTTTCATTTAACTACATTTAAAATGTATTACTGTTTTTAATAATATTTATAATGTCTTCAGTATGTTCGGCACATAACATAAAAAATAGAAGTCATCAAAATACAAATATATCATTTTTCAAGTTTGCAGCCTTATTTGTGATGTTTGTTTTTTATTGCAATAACATTCTCATTCAGGCTCTACAATATCATATCAACAGCTTCCTTTCTTATGACAATAACCGATGCTTGAAGCGACGTGATTTTGAAGTTTCTCAGTTCGTTCCTTACATATTGTAATTTCGTTTTAAATGATTGGTTTTGGGTCGTGAAACACAGAGAAAGAGGATTTATATTTCACGCCGCCCGCTCCCACCGAGCCTTAACTAGCGCCAAATGGAATTCTAGAATACTCTGTCCAGAGGGCGCTGCTTTGACTGCAAAAAACATGGCTTCAATTTGCTGCGAAAATGGAGGCGCTTCAACAATTCTTTGTAGTAAATTCTTGCTCGTTTGTTATTTATAATATTTCTTTTATTTATTACCTCCTGTTCGGCATTGCTGCCTTTCAGGGGTGTTAACATTTTACGAAATAATACTTTGCCATTCGTTCTCACGCTAATTGTTCTGAATATTACAGGCTGTGTTCAGTGTATAATTTTGAAAAACTGATTTGATGAGAATTTATTTTTATAATTCATTGAATAAAATATTTACGTTATTTTATATTAATAGCTGTTGGGAATTAATGACGTTGAGTATTTATGGAAGTTTGAGTTTATCCTTGCGAAATCGTGAGCATATTCTATTTGGTTTTGGGTAGTTTTTTGCCAAGTTTAAAGTTCGGCGTGGCTGGCGATCCTGAAAAAGTGTCAAAGAACTTGTTCGAGGATTTTAGGATGTGTTCTTGTAATGACTCAATTCGTAATTCTCTGTGAAGTTGTTTGTTACTAATAAACCAGGGAGCTTTAGTTATTTTTCTTAAACATTTATTTTGAATGATTTGTAGTTTTTCGATAGTTTTTGCTGCATTACACCAAATTAGGCTAGCATACGAGATTGTTGGTCGTAATATCGGTTTATAAATTGTAGTTCCACATTAAATACTTAAAGCTGATTTAGAGTTTAGAAGAAGATAAAGTTTAGCAATTTTTGCATACGTTTTGTTTGCAACTGTTTTGATGTGGTCTTTCCAAGTTAATTTTGCATCACATTAGTCCTAAATATTTAACTGCCGTTTGTTTGGGAAGCCATTCAATTATTGAATTTTGAGTTTGAAGAGGGGGGAGGGGTCGGTGGTCTTCGAAGTGTGAGGATTTTTGCTTGAGATTTGTGCGAGTTTATTTTGATTCTCCACTGTTCGGACCAGGTGATATATGTTGTTAAGTCGTTCTGAAGGTTGTCGTAAGCGCAGAGTATATCCTCGTGGGCTGTGAATAAAGCGGTATCGTCAGCGAAGAGGACGATTTCTGAGTCCGCTGGTTTTGGGATATCCCATTAGTATAAGCTGAAAAGTAAAGGTGATTGGCATGATCCTTGCGGAACACCGGCTGTAGGTTGACATTGATTACAGTAGGCAGAATTGATTCTTACCAGGAAATGGCGATCTGCTAGAAAGCTGTCGATAATTTTATAGAGGTAGTTTGGTAAACCCAGGCGTTGTAGTTTAAATAGTAATCCGGGGTGCCACATTTTGTCAAATGCCTTTTCAATGCCTAGAAATAGTGCTAAGGTGTGTTTGTGTTGATGGAAAGCTGTAAGTCTCAGGAGTTGGTGCGTTGTTGAGTATTTATTTCTAAATTCGAATTGAGTGTTATGTATAGCCTTTATTTCTGTAACATATTTATTTATACGTGTATATATTAGCTTCTCGAATAAATTGCCAAGAGTTGGAAGTTAACTTATCGGTCTATAATTGGATGGATTTTGGGGGTCTTTTCCTGGTTTGATGAACGGGAGGATAATAGCAGTTTTTCAATTTTTAGGAAAATGGCCTAATCTTAATGCCGAATGAGCTTTGAGGGCTTTATTGCTAATATTATCATATCCTGTTGCCTTTCTAGATTTTAATTGATTAATTGTTTTTCTAACTTCAGAAGGTGACATACATTTGATTTTTTCTTGGGTCAGTGATAATTGATAGTTGAAAATATTTGAACAGTTGATAATATTTGAAGAGAGTTGTCATCTGAATTGAAGTTCTATTTTAAAATTGGGCAGTTAATGCTGGCTGATAATGTCGCAACGTAACTTCATGCTTCAAAAAAAGGTTTTCACGCGTTGTACCATTAGTATCGCTATCTACAAACTAATGTTGATACTGTTTATCTCAAAGACACGTATGCTTGAAGAGAATCATTTGAAGTAGTGTGAGCTGCTGCTGGTAGACATCAGCACTGTCCAGTGACGTTGCGTCTCGAAATCCATTGCATTACTGTTAGGAGACCGCACGTGAGAGGTTAAAAAAATTAAATAAGCCTTAAGAGTACGCAGATTCGTGATGCGTATTTGTTGATCAAATGCCGTAACACAAACTGATTTTTGGTTAAGTACGAATCCTTTTATTATGAAAGCAGAATTATTACTTTAGTGAGTAGGCTTCCGTGGCCGCAGTTTGTGTCTTGTGGGCTATCCGGGATGCTCCGCGTCTCGGTGTTGGTGGCTAATTACTATTACTTGTCAAGATGAAAAATTATACTTACGAAAGAGAACAGATGCAATAGAGAATGCAAGAGATGCTGTTCTTCTTCCCGTGTCTAATTGTTTTTCAAAAGCATTCATATTGTTTCGCAGGATACGGAAATTCTTGTTAAATCGCATTTAGTGTGTGCAAATTGGATAAATTCTGGACTAACTTAAAAAATTGAGATAAATGACGTAAAAAGGAAATCACTGAGCTTTTTTTAAAACAATAACGAATGTTTGCTTGGAACATTACATGGAATGAGTAGCTAGTCCACAAGTATCGAGTTGTAAATATCTAGAAGTAACATTACTCAAACACCTCGGATGGGGTCTCACGTTAATTTTGTTGCCAGGAAAGCGTGATAGTCATTACATTTGCTTGCATGTAAGAGATCCTCAAGCCTAAATGACGCCCCTGAGCAAAATTCAAATCGCCTGTTTCTCGCCCAAGAAATACCTTCTTTCTCCGCTAGTTGGTGAAAGGAGCGTAGCAAAATTTGCGTAGCCAGACGGAAGAGCGGGCCTGATGGCCCGAGTCTCGCCACGTAAAATAAGGCATTAATTCAATTCAATTCAAAAATTACATTTCGAAAAGAGAACACAAAAAATCAACATAGTGAATCAAAAAATCGCCTACACATCATTACTTAGGCCAGTTCTTGAATACACTACAGTTGGTTGGGACTCCTACAGAGTTAAAGAAAATCATTCAAATTCATAAATAAAGGACCTACCGAAACCTGTAGACGTTCTCAGTGTATGTAGATAAAAGGCCCGGTTGTGCTTCTTCAAAGCGTAAAACAAGTAACCCTCGTGGGTAAAAGTAATCAAAAGGCTGAACTTTCCTTCAAGAATTGGAAGAAACGCACAAACATAAAAAATAAAAAAGAAGAGCTCAATGATTCGACGTAGCGAAGTATTATTTTCTGAATCATAAAATGAAAATTTGGAATGAAATCCCTGCAGCAATCGAAGAGACTTTACATAGCTCTTAGTGTTTCCAAAAAGATCAAATACGAGTAAGTGTAAATTAGTGACGTATACAACGATTTAGTTAAGCTTATCATTAATAATTCAAGTGAAATATAGTATGGTGTAGTTTTTCTTTCGATTTAATTTTGATTTATTGTCGTTAAAAAACAAAAACTGTATCTATTGTATGGATGACAAAATCTGAGCACATTTTTTGATCTCTAGAATCTCTTCTCTACCCTTTTATTATACATAACTGAATGATGAATAAAAGATCTAACAAAGAGAGTTTATGAAAATTTGAAAACTAGACATTTTCGCTCCCGAGTTGTAAAAAACTTATTTGCAAGGAAAATTGAACAACAGATTTGAATGTTTAGAACTGCTAACAAAATAGCAACTCAACGCCTCCAGTTCTACTTCTACCAAAACAAGGAAAAGTCCGACAAAATGTGTAAATAATGGAGCTAAATTTACCATACGTCCAGTATCATTCGAAAGGATAAGAGAAATTCGAAACATCTGATCGTGATGAAGGTTCATTGACCTAGAAGCTGAGGTACAATACATAATGATCCATTTATCAATATGATGAATCTTGTGTCCCAATTGACTGAGATGTCGTGTGTAGAGCAAATAAACTTACAAGTAATGGTTGCATTCACGAATGATATATTTCGCAAGAGGAATATATAATTTCTGAATGTAATCGCATTTATAATTCTCAAGCCAGAGAGGGAGAAGGCATATTGACTGCTTTATTGAAATCGTTATTATGTGAGGGATTCTGAGCCCTGATCGACGCTAAGGATGAGACATTAAAGGGACAGGACTTTATTCGAAAATTGTAAAAGAGTACACTCAACTGCGAAAGCGGCTCAGGCACTTAGACACGATTCTGAGATCCTAAACTTGATTGATTGAATTGAAGCCTTATTTTACGTGGCAAGACTCAGGCCATTAGGCCTGCTCTTTCGTCTGACCACGCAAATTTCACTACGGTCCTTTCACCAACTAGCGGAGAAAGGAGGTATTTCTTGGGCGAGAAACAGTCTATTTGAATTTAGCTCAGAGGCGTCATTTAGGCTTCAGGATCTTTTACATACAAGTAAATCTACTAACATGGGACAGCCGGCTTTACTTCCCCTCCAAAGGAAGGCGTAAGAAGGATTTTTTTTCGCCCTTAAAAATCTACGGCTTCGATCGGGTTTGAAACAGCCAACTTGGGTACAACTGTCCGACGCTAACCGTTACACCATCGCTGTGCGCTAAGGGGATCGAAATGAAGAAGGCGTATCAGTCTTGAAAACTACCCCAATTTCTTTAAAAAAAGTTTCCTTGAATTGATAAAGGACGGACGGTCTACAGAAGCGTTTCTTTGATTACTTCACGCTGCTCTGCAATTCTTCATTAAACGTAATTTCATGGAACATCGGCCTTGGACATCGCTCACCATTGAGCTTCACAAGAGAAATTTGCTTCTCTGCGAATCCAACATCCCTGCTCACTGTACTGGAAGAAGTTGTAATTGCTGTCTGTAGTTGACATTAGGCACTGCCGGAATACCTTCACAAAGGCAGCAAAATGCATTGTATGTGAACACCTATCTTCGGCGGACACTTATCTATAATAATAAAAGTGAATTCCTCGACATGTAACTGACATCAATACCCAATGAAGTAGTGTATGAATAGATACGAAATTTGTACAGGCTGTTCTTCAGTAACAATATTGTGTGCAGTGTCCTTGTAAAGTTTGGTAAAGATGAATACTAAACAAATGCGGAAAAATTAATAATTTAAATAAATGCACTACAATCATAATGTTTCTCCTAAGCTAAGAGAAGTTTGATTTTGTCAGAGACCAGCGTGGCAGAACTTGTACCAAATAGTTGGTTCCTAATAAGTTCCGCCACAGGACAGAAGCGGTGCAGCAGAACTGGTACCTAATAGACTCGCTAGAGGCCAGTAGTAGCCCAAAGTAAGACAGAAGTAAGCCAGTAGTAACACAAAAACGTTTAATTTTTTAGCGATGTATTGTAAAATAAAAGTAAAGAAAATTAGTATATTTTATTAACATTTGAAGCAATTACTTACTTGTAAGTAATAAATAATCTTAAACACCGTGATTTAAGAAAATTAGATGTGTTTCACAAGAATTGGGTATGAAGAAAGCTTGAGCAACGCAGGGTAATAGATTATCATGGTTCTTGTTGTATCCCAAGGACGGATGCCTGAATATCTCGCTTTATCCGTACGCCCTTTCCTACTTATATGGCGAACCGCTGCTTGGTATCTGAATAAGAGATGTATTCCAAAAGGCGTGAGAACGTGAAACCCCAAAAGGCTTCTTCCCGATCTTCCCGATTTCTTAGGCCGAATCGCTTCGTCGTAAAGCCCGTAAATACGCGTGCGAACCCGGAAGGGTCTTCTGTACTAAAACATAAGACAGCTTCTAGAGTGAAACTTCGCGAGCTTCTAGAGTAAAATTTGGGAGCGGTTGGTTGAACGCTTAAATGTAGCTGCAAGGTCATCGCCGATGCTGCGTATCTTCCAGAGCAAAGATGTACTCTGTGTAGCTACGCCGGGAGAGCTCTCCCGCGTTTTGTCTAAACTCACGGCCGCGAAGCATATGTTGCTAGGAGTGTATACCGGAACCTAACTAGCTAGTAACTACCGGAACCAAAATAGCTAGTAACGGCAATGTCAGGGGGATTATCGCGCGCTCTTCGTACCGATTCTCTCCCGACACGACAATCGCATTTCTGCCGATGGTGAAGGGAGCGTCTGTCTGTCGCCGGTGAAGACGTCGTGAAGCACACGTGTGTGGACGCTCTCCGCTTCGCCTCTTTGTGCGGGCCACCGGCGTTAGTCCGCCGGCTCCACCTGCCCTGGCGATGCTCACCCGTGCCGCCGACCTGGAAACTCCATCACCCGAGAAAAAAAGCTTTCCTGTAAACGAACTATTCTCCGAATCAAGTGTAAGGCCACTTCATGGAACTATGTATATACGTAGTTATATAAGTAACTTAGAAGTTCCTTTTGTAATGAAATGCTGTTCATGATCATTCATTTTTTAATAAGTTCTCAAAATTTCCTCATTTTCCTTCCCAGTTTGGCAATTGCAGTTTAAATGATAGGGCATGTAGGCATTAGAAGTATTTGCGTTCTTGTTGCATCGCCCAACCGCTGACTAAGTTGGGCAGTTTACCAACGGAAGGGGATAGGCTTGGAGTGTTTCCAAGCGGGCAGTTGCGGTATAATTTTAAAGTAGATATAGCAACATCACTAGAAGAAGAAGAAGAAGAAGAAGAAGAAGAAGAAGAAGAAGAGGAAGAAGAAGAAGAGGAAGAAGAAGAAGAAGAAGAAGAAGAGGAAGAAGAAGAAGAAGAAGAAGAAGAAGGAGAAGAAGAGGAAAAACTATGAAAAAGCATCATAGTAAGAGTAACAAATTTATTAAAACAATTTCAAGACAGAATCAAAATTTCAACAACAAAATAGTGTTTTTAAAAAAATTTACACATTTAATTGGTATTAATTTCGGTATAACCAATTCTAAAATATTTCGGAGCATATGCCCTTTTCAGAGGCTGAGGCCGGTGTTCTGGGAGATCCAGTCGATGAAGGAGGTGACGCGGGCGAAGCCGTTGGGGGCACCGCTCTCGCAGCCGTCGACGGAGCCGTAGCTCACGATGCCGATCTGCTTCCCGGACTCCAGGTCGATGAGTGGGCCACCACTGTCACCCTGTAAACATGAGCAAATGTTATATCGTGTCGATTGATTGATTGAATAGTTTATCCACCAGCTGGACACCACCCCAGCCGGGACACCAGCTCTAACCTCCCGTCTGGTCTCCCGAATATGTGGTGGTGTAGTGAATGTATAATTGTATGCAAGGGGGGACAATAGAGCATGGCAGAGGAAGGAAAGGGCGTGGGTGGTCTGTGAAATCAAAAGAAATTGAAACGTTTCGCAATGTATCATTTATGCATTACTAGTGGACCCGGCAATGCTTTGCTATTGCACCGTATTAAACTTTACATGCTTTTGGGCACGTGCTTGTTAATCATATTTTTTGCTACGCTCTTCAAAAATGTCAATAAATGAAAGAATTTCTCTTGAGTGTGGTTCCGTCTTTCTCTGCGTCTCTCCCCCGTCTCTCTCTCTCTCTCTCTCTCTCTCTCTCTCTCTCTCTCTCTGTCTCTTTGTGCCTCTCTCTTTCTTTGACTCTGTTTCTATTTGTTTCTCTCTCTGCGTCTCCCGGGAGAAATTTTACAATCGCAGGGGGTAAAATACGTAATGAAGACGTCTTAATAATCGTACTTCAGTGTGCGGCAGGTTGCCTAGAGAGCGCCGTGACTTAAGCGCTCTGGTCAGGACCCTTGAGTCTACATAAAATAATCAACGCGCGTCTTATGTGCGCAGGCATGTTCACATTCCCAGCGTACTATATCTATATTTTTCCGGAAGTGCAAGCAATATGTCGACAAAGTTTTATCGCAATCGGATGAACGGTACGACAGCACGTTGAGCACGATTAATATCAATAAAATAAACAAACATTGTAATTTATATATAAGATGTACCGGGAAAATTCTTGTTTACTACAAATCCATAAATAAGAATGATGCAACCCTATAATACCATGCGAAGAAAATCGAACAAGACAAGTTGTCAAAGAAAGAAGATTCTTAAACAACAAACATTGATTTATTTTTACGGTGAGCTCATTACAAACAATTTTGTAATATATTAAGGAAAATATGTATTTTACATTTACTTGGAAACTCAGTTTGTCCAGCGATGAAAGAGAGCCGGCAAGTTAACGAAATTAAAATATGTTATTCATATTTTCCACAATTCATTGTATTTTTATGTTTATTAACACGTAACTTAATTCTTTTATGAGTTCAAAATCCATCAAAAGAATGGACATCAGACATTTTCTAAGTCTATTTTTTCTGATTTTTCCTATATTCATGTTAAATAAATGATTATACGCATCGAATATGGCCAACGGAAACGAAAATAACGATTGATATACCTTATTCTTTTTTAATTCATTTTCGTTGTGAAAATTTTGATTAAATACTGAGCTGATCAATTAGTCCTGGACTGCCCTAGATACAAAAATTATAACAATGATATTTTTTAATTGGTGTAGAAGCCATTAGTACCGTATATTTATGTAGTCCTATTAACGTTTAGTTAACCTATTTCGAGAAGTTTCACATAATTGCCATTTTCACACGAAGTATCAGGGCAGCAGCGATCTCGAAGCACGATAGCGTAAAGGGAAGGCCATCCCATGCGCACCGCCGCTAATTACCGTGGGTGACACATCGGAAAATTGAAAACGGCATTCACACAGAATCCAGATTGTTTTCCTGCTCTAACACATTTCAGGCGGTGGAAGCACGCCAGGTCCGCTCGCGCCAACACCAGTGTTGACAAATTCTTGTCATTTATAATTTAGGCTGAAGTAATTTTTATATCTTTTAATGGAGATTCTTTTGTAAAATGTATTGTTTCTTACCCAAACTATAATACCTGTTTTTTTATTTAATGATAAAACGGTGGGTCGCATATAGGGGAGAAGTGCAATCTAGGGCATTCGTTGCATTACGTCATTCACGAAATTGTTATTCATCGTTACGGTAATATCAATCTGCGATTTTCATTATCCATGCAACTTTTTCATTCATTAGAGTATAATCGTATCAAGTGATAAACTAGTAAATAAAAAAAGCATTTAGAAAATAGAATTGTTCTCAATTAGATTTTTAAATGTACTATATGGACAAATTTAAAGAAAAATCACTGAGATCTGAGAATGCACAGTGTTTTAGAATAGTTTCTCGTGTATAAACAGCAACTATTGTACATCTTATATCTACAGTCAAGTTGAGAATAATACCATGGATTTCAGGAGTATTTTCTAAATTTTAGGGTATAAAACTCTGTCCTTTCTAACCAGGTACTAGACGTATGTGGACTAGACGAGAATTACTCTTACGATTGCACTGACGATTTAAGCCTACTCTCGTCTATTGTGGTACAGATGAGCTCTATAGGGGACGAACGCTCTCGTGAACGCGCTCAGTGTACCTGCCGCGCTTAAACATGAGATCTGACGTTGACCGACACTTGGATTGCAAGGTTTTCCTTTTCTAGGTATCCCTCAGCGGGGCGTCTCTCCAGCTGGGACGAGCTCTAATCTTCCGACTGGTTTCCCGATGGTTGGTAGTATTGTGCACGTAAGTCTGTGTGTAAGGAGAGAGAAGAGGACAACCATGAGGAAGGAAAATGTCGCGCGCTCTTCATGGGCTGTTTGTTAGAGAACTGCACCGCCTTTCCCCTGCCACTAATTGGAGAACCCACAAACATCTGATCGCATCAGTCGTTCGCTAGAATTCTTTCTCGGCAGTGATTGTCCCACTAGAATTGTAACGGCCACCGCTCTATTTTACTTTCTCGTCTTACTATGTTTACATTGTAAAGAGGAAGCCTTGTATTTTTGCGGCAGAAATCGGTGATTCTTTGAAATAAAAACTCGTAATGTCGGAGCCTGGTCATGAAAAAGTGAATAAATATTGTTTCTTTTTATAGTAACATTTTCCCCTAATACGTTGTGTATTCAGAATTCCTGTTGTGTGGGTCCTTGAAATCAAAAATTGATTCACGGGAAAAGGTCTGTCTCACTGTCTATGGCCAATGCGAGTTCTTTAACTTTTCAGGCGATTTTCTCCAAAATTAATATTCCTCGATCACTATGAACGAATTCGAGTTTGAAAAGGGTAGTTTGATTGATGGGATACTTTATATAAAGTTCAACATTTTCGAAATTTTCTCACAAATTGCTAAACTTTTAAAATTGATTTTTACCGTAGAATACCATAAAAAATCTTTAAACTGTGCGCTGCCTAATTTTTGGTAAAATCTCTAAATTTTTAAAAGTTGCAAGAGTTCAAATTTTTCGGCGTATCGAATGACACTTCACTTTTCTAATTGCTAGGAAAACCAAGAATTGTCTTAGATGTGATGTGGAGGGTACGTGTTTGGTGTGGAGACTCGGAAGACCTGAGAACAAATCTGGATGCGGAGATAAAATATTGCTGATTGAAAACAGTTTTGGTGATTTGTGAAGGAGTATAATGTTGCGTAGCCGTTTAAAATAAAGCGAGAAAGCATGTGCTGCTGGAGCACGTCTGGCTTCGCAATGGCTTACATTGCAGGAGCTGCGGCCGCCGGCGCCCTGCGCGCAGATGGTGGACGCGCGCACGTTGAGGAGGCCGAACGTCTGCCGGCACACGGCGTTCGAGATGATGCTCAGGTCCACGTAGTTCAGCGTGGGGCTCACGGAGTTGCTGGCTGCATAACAAAACCAGCAAGAACAACTTACTACGTGTATTTTGAGGTAAATTATGTGTTAATGTTTAGTAATTGAGCGAGCTTATTTTAGGATTGTTCAAAATCGGATTAAGTTCGTACTGTAATAAATAACTTCAGAATTGCCTCCGTTAATACGCTACTTGTGAAACATTTAATGGAAACTACGTCACGAAGCACGCACATTCTATCATTAAAGTAATTAAATATTCAATTATTTGCTAAAGAAATAAATTAAATTTCAGACACAATACGTCCTTCTCTGACCAGTGACTTGGAATTATTCTAATAGACAAATAGTACAGTTTAAATCCCTGATTGTTATGGAATTTAGGTGATTTAGAAATCATTTCTTCCTTTTCGACAATTTACAAATATCTACTCAAATGTTTGATTATGGAACTGGTTCATAGTAGTCTAACATGAAAAGTACATGATTGAAAGATACAGCTTTCAGAAGGCATTGCTTCTAATGGAAATATAGTATGTAAACATATCACCTTTTAGAAGGAAAAGAAAGGGCACGTACCATCAGAGGTCTTCCCCCATCCACTGACTCGGGCAGCGGCTCCTTCGAAGAGGTCGTCGCCGGTCGCCAGAGCGATGGGCTGCACCAGGTCTGTAACGAAGACGAAGTACTGTTATAAGGAAACCATCCGTTAACACCAGGGATGTTTCAAACGTGTTTAATGTAACTTCAAATAAGCTTGTTTAACAGCGGAATGCACTATCGTTAGAGAAACTTACCAAAGCTATTCCTTTGAAGTGTACTAAACATCAAGGCAACAAAATAATTTAAAATTCGGAAATAATTTTTTCACGTGTGATCCTCTCATATCGATAATAATAGGTCAAGAACTAATTACAATTCGTCTGTCTATTGCATCATATACGTCGTACAAAATCCTCACCTTTTGCATGGCTTGTTGCCTGTTGAATACTTACTGCTGAGAGGCACGTCCTGGCCCAGGTCGATGAGCGCGATGTCGTTGGGCGGTAGGAGGACGAGGTAGCCCGAGTGCACGATCTTCGACCTCGTGGTCACGACGACGCGGCCCTCCTCGCTGGCGGAGCTGATGTCCTGCGCCCCCAGGTACACGGTGAACGAGCTGATGCTGCAAGCCATAAAACACGAGGCATTAGGGCGAAGCGTAATTGATACTGGCTTCATACTTGACTACTTACACGGATGGACCATTTACATGGCATTAGGGCGAAGGAGGTTTGATACATGACTATTTATATGGATAAACCATCTACATGGGATTACGTCAAAGGATAGTTGGTACAAATCTGATACACGGATAGACCATTAGGATACATGAAATTAGGATGAAGAATAATTGATACAGGCTTGATACCTGACTATTTACATTGGTGTACCATTTACATGGCATTAGAGCGAAGCCTAATTGATACTTCACTAAGAGCTCATCGGTTCAGGGGTTCTTTTATGGAAGTTTGCTTAAATTAACCTCTGTAGTTGATCCTGTTACCATTGAACATTTTACGTTCATTAGGATATTACTGCGCGAATTGATTAATTTTTTCTTTCATTATAATAAACAAGAAGTAGAGTTTAATTATTTGCACTTGCAAATTAAACTACAGCAGAATGAGGCCATTGAGTCTAAAGAATATGGTTTAGCCCGGAGGTATCCGAATATAAATGTGGCCTTGAATTTGTTAGATTAGATGGCCAGATTTTATTTTATTTTCATCAGTAGTTAGTGAACGTTACGAACTTAGAGTAACCTTGACCGGAATTCAGGCCGAAGAACGGGTGCAAGACTAAAATATTTAGGTCCTTCATTGAGAATAGACTCGGTTTTCTCTGTCTCGAGGAAGAAGTTCGTTTCACTTTCTCTCAAATTTCTAATTTATCGACTCTTTGAGATTGAAAAGTATGAGCGTGGAGACCTATGCTTCTCACCATAGGGAGGAGTTTCTTTTTCAGAACATTTTGAGGCGTAAAAAATATCACTTAATGGAAAAACCGGGAAAGTTCTTAGGGAAGGATATTAAATATATATTTTACATTCCCGCATACATGTTCCGAAATCTTTCCCTTACATAAGGGAACATTTTTCCTTGCATAAGGGAAAAATCAACTTGAAGATTTATTTTATATTTTATTTTTGACTCCTCAGGAACAGAATGATTAATTAATGTAAACCTATTTCTAGACAGATTATTCTTAAATGTTTTGAGTGACGATACATTTTACATAACCCTTCCGAACACAGCCACAATACAATCTCCATTTAAAATCTTATCTAATTCGCACCGATCACGAATCTTTACTCGCAACCATCTGCGATTTTTGATCCTCGAAGGAAGGAGGAGGCCCAGAGTGCTAAATTAGTATTGCTTCGATTGTTTGGACGACAGCGCTCTTTCTAAATCGGAATTTTATCAGCTTGATGTTGAAGTACTTCATTTAGCACCCACGTGCGTTCTAAGATCAAGTGTAATACGAAGAGTGAAACATTGTTACACAATTCTGATCTATCAAGGTTATTACACTTCATTAATGAGAGGAATATGTTGAGCTTATTCATGTCCGGAGAAACGAATTTTGTAATATTATACGGCGGACAAATTAATCAATATTGTTCGTCTAATTTTTTGTTAATACAATAATTTGTAGAGAATCGAACAAAGTGATTCACCAACGTGTGTTTAACGACTCTGAAAACAAGTTGAATTCATTGAACGGCAGATTGACATTGTGCAACTATGTCAAATTAACAGCGTCTTTGCCGGCGTTTTATTTGTTAAATAAAAAGCTTTCGATATCGTAGGCATCATCATAATCATCGCCGCCACAAGAAAGTTAAGAAATCGAAATAAATAAAAACATCGACACGAATTATGTTCAGACGGGCTTGTGAAGTGGGTGGCCCACTTCGTGTGGCCCGGTGTGGAAAAACGCTGTGGCCCGCTGCTTGTGGAATTAGCCCTGGAGAAGGGGTGGTGTGGGGAGTGGAGGTGCTACCTGCATAGTTGATTGAGGGGAAAGTCTGGTTTCGTGAAAGTGGAGTGACAAACGAGCCACTGCAGTGGCAATTTGGGTCGAAATCTTGCGTTTGACATCTGAGTTTGAGTCACATATATCAGAAGGAACATCCATATTTCGCGCGCATGCAGCAGGGCAGTGCTTTGTTGGGGCTTGGTAAGTACAGAGACGGGAACGGGCAGTCACAGGAACGGGAGTAAGAAGCGCGTCTATAACTGCGTTCTCGAGTTTATCAAAGAGCGACATGTGATCGGAAGTCAGCGAGCTAAGCAGTATAGTGCTGACAAGCGTGTGTACGAGTACATTCTGTCTATGACAAACTTGGTACAACTCTTTTGGAATACAGTGGCTGCGCTATGGTCTGGTACATCTCCTGGTGGTAACAACTACGCTACGAACTTTACTATTTCTAATGGAGGATTGGGAGTCTATGGTACGATTTGAATCGTGGAAGTTCTACTCACTTAATTAAATAAAATATCGTTACTTGTTTACTCCTATGCATTTTGGGGGCATAACAGATGTATTGAGCACTCACCCAAATGCGCAGTGGGCGGCAGTGAGCACCCAGCGCTGAGAGATGAGGGAGCCTCCGCAAAAACCGTTGCCGTTCAGGTACAGCGCCGCCTGGTACGGGAACTGGCCACGGGAGGCCTGCACGCCGTTGATGATGCGAGAGTCCGCATACTTGGGAGCGCCCTCTACGTAAAAAATAATTAAAAGAAACAAACTCAATAAGTAGATCTCGGGGCACAATCATGAATGTAGGAAAAGGTTATTAAATGTGGCGTTCTTACCAACGGGGGTGACTTTCAAGTGGGGAACAGGGATGACATCACTGGGCTGAACATGCGCCTGGAAAGTAAGAACGTTTGTTTATTAGAACATTTATATTACTGTATATGTGGTGGTCAGAATCAAACACGAAAACAGTTGTAAATAATTCCTTTAGTTTTGCTAGCTTTGAACTCCCAGCACACAGCGTAGTAACTATGTGAGAAGTTGACGTTGTTGGAGACTGAAGAGGAAGGCATTCAAGCTCATTTGAACGCAATGTATGAGACCATGGTCGACAATATAATATTAATGATTTTAATTCTGCATACTATTCATTACTTTTGCTCCCTTGTGTAGGACTCCTTTCTCTTCAAATGGCCGCTACACTCAATAAATCCGGTCTCAAAACTACTTTCAACAACACTCATGCATTACATAAAACACTATCCAACTAAAAACCCAATACCACCTACCTCCTTATGCGGTGTATATGCTCTCACTGGCAACAACTGTAATGCCGTACACATTGGACAAACAGGCCGAAAATTCACACAGAGAATCAAAGACCACGAATAAGCATGGAAAAACAACACTACCACAGTCTCACCTTTCGTGGAAGTTTAAACAAACACACATGTGATAAACATAAATTTCCAAATTCTAGAAATTGAAAACAGGTATTGGAACAGAATAATATTAGAATCCCTACATATACACAACATCCTCAAAAAAACAGAACATGACGTCTCTTAACCAACAAATCCCTGAACTGTCTTCACCTCTGCTAAAATTAGCACAAAGTGTACATCCCTAACCCCTCCCCCCTAACTCTAATGGTCTTCGCTGGCCCGACCCCTCCTCAGGTATGTACGAACCAGTTTGCTTACGTATCTTGCATGCAATGTCTATATAATGTATATAATATTTGCATTAACTTATCCCCAATTGTTTATAATTCATGTATTAATTTAATTTTATTTTGATAATTCCAATTTTAACTCTGAGGATGATCGTTTCGCGATCGCAACGATCTATAGCAATGTTTTATTTACCATACTTACACCCATTTTCATTTGTGTTTTCAGACAAGTATTGTTAGAATTAAAAAAATTAATGAAGTGCAATTATAATTACAATAGAAGTCTGGCCAATATTTTAATTGTGTTTTAAATATTCCTCTCTAATGCAAATTTAAGTTTGAAAGCATGATAGTGAAGTTACCCTCTCATTCACTACTACAATAAAATCGTTTTAGTGTGCAAGTTTACTGTAAAACTTACAAATTTGGTTGTTAACACTAAATACTTTAATTTGTATTATGAATTTACCTATTACAAAGATAATTGTTGTATCTTGATGGAAAATTTGAATAACAAGATATGAGATCTGAGTAAACGGTATTAACTGATGTTTTTACGGTTGAGAGTTCGACCAACCGGTCTCAAGTAATTTGTCGTCACACTGAAAACAAAACCATCTCGTAAAAGAACCACTCATACTTTCACTTCAGTACGGAATTTACCTGAACAGCTGCGACCACCAGCGCGACAACGATGAGAAACTTCATGGCGGGAAAGGCAAATTCTTCTCAAACAAAGAACCGCTACAACTGAACGAGGTTTCTGCTGAGCAGTTCTTTTATATCAATTCCTTCGCTCTAAAGTCAAGCACTTTGGGAAAATCTGTGACTCGCAAACCACTTAAGTGTTCACGTCTAGTTTAATCCCGATTACCTCGTGTGATGGGTTATCTGATTTTTGATTGGGAATTACAAACTGATAAAAGCCGACCAGAATATTGACAGCTGAATTTTAAACAACGCGTGTGCGAAAATTTGGCCGTTTGGAGATAATAATGTCGCCTGAAAAATAAAAATCATCTTATATATAATTCTAACGATACATTTCAATTAAATACAATTTTTTTAAATGTTGTAAATTGGTCACATTTTGATATAAGATTGTCATGAAAGCATTGCAACCTATTTTCCCTCTCCTGAGATGTTTCAACTATTGAGATATATGTTGTTAAAATTTAGTAATCGATATTAGCTTTTCCTTTCAGATCTCTCTGACCTTGTGGCTATAAGTACTCTTTTTTGTCAGCGTCACCTGCTCTCAGATATTTTAAAACTTAGAATGAATCTGCATGTTGCGTGTCAACTGCAGTGAATAAATTACTCAGTAGTTTGAGCCAGTACAGTGGAGTCAAAATTTCTAAAGTGGATCACTTCTGATCATGAGGGCAAAATATATACTACTAATTTCGAATATACGCTTAAACTGGCAGAAAACTAAGCATTCTTAGGCTATGAAAGAGGTGGAATTCTGTGCATCATTAAATGGGAAAAATAAAAAACAATGAAAGTTTCAATTTTGATTGAAAATGCAAATATTCTGATCCGCAATTTCTCATACCTGCTGTTTCCACTGTATTTTTATTTTAACGACATGCAACACTTTTATGCCGATGACATGCAACTAGGAAGAAAGAAACTTCAGTATCCACATGTGCGTTGCACAAAAGCAATCTTTGTTGCTCTAAGACACCCCATTTACCGAACACTTGATGGCAGCATTTCTGCTGCTGTAGTTTTCTAGTTGCAGACTGGTTCTATTAATTATTCGCAGACAGTTGACGATAATGAGATTTGGGCAGAAAAACAAAACCCCGCATAAAAAAAATATTCAAGTTGGCCCACGTTTCGGAATAAGTAATTCCATCTTCAGGGCTACGAAATACAAAAATCCTTATCGTGTCAATACTATATTCAGAATACAAACAAATCATTAAAATGCTTATACAATAATGTAAACTATTGTTTGAGTAATATTGTTATAGTGCATCAACCTTACTTATGAACAAGTGGCACTACAGAATGGCACAGACTTTCCTGTATTATTTTTCTATTTCCTTTGACCTCGACTAGCTACTGGGACTTGCCACATACCTTTGCCAAATCCCACGTATCTCCGCCCAAAGAACTTTTTTTTGACATTTTCTTAATTTTTCGGTTTCTTAATTGTAGAGTGAAAATATTATTTTAATAATATTAAAGGACAGTAAAAGCTCGTCCTAAAACGCAATTTTCTTTAAAGAATTAAAAAACTGGCGTTTAAGCGCTACTTTAAATTCTAAATTTAAAGTTCTTGTCAGTACATTTTAAGTACTTTCACTTACAAATACACTAGTGTTAACAAATTGTTGGAAATGTGCATATTACCAGCGTGAGAGATATTTAAAAAAATACATTTGTGTAATTTTTGAAAAAACAAAAAATTCACCAAATGAGCTTTACGTCATATTAAAGAGTGGAATTAGTACTACCCGTTCGACATGTTTGGAAAAAATTGGAACCGTTTTTGAGAAAACAGTGTTTGAGCGTTTCTGAAAATGCGGAATTTTGAGCTAGTTTTCACCGAAAACGGTAAAGATTTCGAGAAACTTTATTTGACATTATTTAATTCACATGTACTCAGAAATTCAATAAGGTGTTCGCAGATACCAAACGGCCGGACTGACGGCCGGACTGACGGCCGGACTGACGGCCGGACTGACGGCCGGACTGACGGCCGGACTGACGGACGGACTGACGGACGGACGGACGGACGGACGGACGGACGGACTGACGGACGGACGGACGGACTGACGAACTGACGAACGGACTGACGGACGGACGTTTTGAAAACATCACGTTTTCGGCATGTGGGGGCCCCAAACCGTGTACTTCAGTTAAAATATCGAAATCGAGTTTCCGCAGCATTACATAACTTTCCTATACTACGTACGTATACAGTAAAGTTAAGTACACTCTAATATTAATATATCAAGTTAATTATTTTATTACTGTTAATTATATTTCATAAAACACGCCAAAAATGACTACAATGATAAGACAATATAATAAAAATTAGAAAGATGTGATTTACAAACTATAATGGTGCTACAACAGCATATACCTTTTCGTATTATTGGTAACGGGTAATTTTGTCATCACTAGTAATTATTATCATCACTTGATAAACTAACTGAACGAAGCACCAGAGTTACAAAGTACGTTTATTTATTTTTATTTTACAATGTTTAAATCAAAATGGCTGCCTGCCACTAAATTCGTGTATTGTTGTCTATTGTTACAAAAAGTAGGCAAAAAACTAGGGGTGATACAAAACATTATTTTTCTCTTAATTTATAAATAATCAATTTTCAAAAATTCAGAAAGTTCAACAAAATGATTCCTGCACCATTTTTAAGCGTTGATTGTCCTAGTCGTTGAAAAAAAATTTGAATGTTTTTTTAAAAAATGTTTTGTTAACATTTGTATTAACATCAAGTGGAAATCACTTGAAAACTACTCGTTTACTAAAAAAATTGTTCATGACCTTGCTTAAATATCAAATTTTTTAGAACAGAGTTTTTAAAACAAGAACAAAAATGTCTATTTTCTAATTGAAATTACTTTTGCAATGTTAACTCTTTGCAATTAACGAAAATACAGAGTTCGCCGAAAATGGTACATACCGTTTTCTGGATACATACGAAGAGAAAATTTACTGTAAAAATTGTAACCGATTTGACCGGGAGAGGTGATTCCGGGCATCAGCTGATGCCACTGCAGAGCCTCTGACTGGGAGGTCCTAGGTTCGAGTGAGGACTGTGGCAGGATTTTCGACACTAGCTAGATAGCTCAGTCCAATTCAGTCGCTGTTCAGTCGCGACCGGCTGCTCTGATCGGTAGTTTTCCGTGGTTTCTACGAACAAAAGCAGGCGAATGCCGGATCAGTACCCTAACAAACTGTGCGTGATATTTCCTTCCTCTTTCGGATCTTCTCTTCACTTACACACACACACACACACTTACATGCATTATATGCTTATACTATACTACCACATATGCCTGGTCCCCAGTCGGAAGCTTGCAGCTAGTCCCGGCTCCACTAGAGAGAAATACCTAGAAGAAGAAATCCATCTTCTGCTTAGATGCTTAGGTTAACGCTGTACGAAGGACAGTCGAAAAGCTTCTAGCCCGAGATAATTATTGCAATATTTCGTGCAACCGACACTAGTCGCTTTAATTAGGATCCTTCATGAATGTGCAAGTGAAATTTCGTGAGCGAGAGAGCTTTATCGCTAGAGTGCGTTGAATATCATTATGTATGTAAAATGGCGAGTATGGAGAAAATCGTGAACAATGCCGTTTTTGAATACGTTCATTTGAAGGGAATATCGCCAAAGAAAATTGTGGAGGACATCCAGAAGACACTTGGGGACAATGCTCCGTATTTTGCGCCAGTGAAAAACTGGTTGGTTGGCCGACTTCAAACGAGCAAGCGCCTTAGTGCCAGATGCGCAAAGGAGTGGGAGGTCCTTCACCGTTGGCACAGGTGAAAAAGTATCTGCAATTTACGATACGATAATGCGGAATCGCCGAATAATATTGCGGCAAATTGAGGTTGCATTTGGAATGTCCCATGGACGGGCTCATGACATGATTGTGGATGTTTTAGGGACGAGAAAAAATTATTTTCTTCGCGCGCGGTGTTCTCTTGCAGGACTCTTGTTCTCTTGCGGACAACAAAGTCTTCGCAACCCAGAAAACTCTGCATGACTGCGGGTTCGAATTGTTACATCATCGGCTATAGTCTCTTGATTTTTATCCATCAGACGTTTTTCTTTTCCCAATCCTCGAAAAGGTCCTAAAAGAACGTCGATGTGACAATGATGATGTGACAGCGATGATGTGACAGTGATGAAATGATAGTGATGATTGATGCTGTGAATTCGTGGTTAGGCTCAAAACCAAACACCTTTTGTTGGAATGGTTTGCGAAAGTTGTGTGATCGTGCCCGCAATTGTATTAGTGTACACGGTTATTATGATGAAAAATAAAAATTATATTATGAAATTTGTCATGATTTCTTTGTTATGTTAGAAACGTTTCGGCCACCCCTCGTGTTCCACCACCTTGTGGGTTAAACATTCACGGGACTCACCCTTGCAGGCTGGCGTGCCCGAAATATTAATTAATCAATTTTTTCTGAAACAATCTTCAATCCTTGTTTAAACTTTTAAATTTTTCAAAATGCAGGCGTTTTAATGAAAATAGACTGGATGACTGATTAGTAAACAAACTTTATTATCTTTGGAAAAATATAGAACAATTTGGAGCTGTTGAAAAATATGTTTACATTATTTTATATCGCTATTTCTTCAATCGAAATGAATTCAGTCTGAATCGCGTCAGACTTGAAATTGTTTGCAATGAACAACAACTTATCAAAATGGTAGTTAGAATACTTATTTTTTCTGAGTGTGGCGAAAAGTTAAGGTTTATCTAATTATTGGTTGACAAACCAGAAGTCGAAAAATAATATAGTACCTGAACATCCTCAATATGTTGAATTAATCTGTCTGCAATTATGCAAATGACATCTGTCCTTTTTATTTTATTTCCTATTTATTTATTTAAATATCACAAAACTCATTGTTGAGAGGATTAAACGTGTGGATTGACTTATTTAATGTTAAGCGTGGGAATTATACAAGATGAATGATTAATTGTAAAAA